CCCTGGAGAGGGGAGAGACAAGGGAGAGAAGAGAAGGAAGCATATCACCAATTCCTCCAAATCGCACAGACTAACTAGATTCATCATTTGTTACAATGCTCACTCTATGCTAAAAGAAAAAAAAATTAAATTAAATAGCCATTAGGGAGTTAACATACAAAACAGTGCTTGTTTTCTATAATTAGACAAATGTTCGCCAACCCTTTTACCTCAGCCAAATCCCCAGTGATTTCCATGAGACTTTGCACAGACAGACATATTCACCTGTTCCATCGGCTGCAGAAGAAGGTCCACAGTTGTCTTTTCCTTTTAGTCCCTGAAATTGTCTTCATAATTTTATACAGTCTATTGGATGTAATACTTAGGTACAAGACAAAAAGGCAAAGAGAGTTTTGATGCTCATGCTTCTTATGGAGTGGTAGGGTGGTTTTGGATTTTGGTTGTTTAATGGGGAAAATCATAACCGACTTTTAAATTAAGTTGACTTTATATGTTAACACATTGACTGCAACCTGCCATTAGCAACAAACAAGAAAACTTCAGTGCATGTAGAGGCAGCCTAGATTCCCATGCACTGACACAGCCTTCTGGCTCCTTTAAGCCGGATAAGACCCACCAGCAAAGTAGTAATTGATATAGCATAGATAAAAAAACAAACAGGCAATATTTATGTATGTGTTTTCTTTTAGAACCCCACCATTTTAAGATTAAAAACAAATATTCTGATCATTTATTTCCATAAATATTCAAATTATTTTTAATTGTAAAGAGTCAGAGCTTGGCCCCTCAAAAAACAAACTGTTGCAACTATGTTTGTTTGTTTATATTATTTAAAAAAAAAAACCCAGAACTTATAATAAGAGATTTAAAAAGGTAAAGCAGAAAACAGGCTTTCATGGAGGGGAAAGATCAGAATTTAGATCTTAAGGAATAAAAAGGGTTCACAATAAAAACAGTTAATGACCATTTTTTAACGTTGTATGAGATATTGCTCCTATAGCTAATATTACAGAACTCAAAATAATTATGTCTACAATGTCAGCATGTGGTATAAAAAACTTCAATAAAATCTGTTCAACCATAAAAGACTGAGAGAAGTGTCAGACCAATAGCAAACATACATTTAATTTGAAAAGCAAACATTTAATCTTAATATTATTGTAATGTGAATTCTGAAGATTCACATTTCTAGATTGTTTGTCGTGTTTCCAGAAGTTAGTAGGTTATATGAAAAATAACATCCCAAACATCTGGCATTAGACATACCATGGAGCGTTAGACAACAACCTTTGGCTTTAGAAAGGAGTTTTACAAATACGCAAGGACTGCTTGTTCTAAATTCAGAAGGTCCAGAGTCATATTAGAGATATTTGTTCCTATAGGACTTAATTCTGACAAAGTTCTCTACAATATCACCCCTTGCTGGCCACTTTACAGAATGGCAGTGACATCCGTTACACACAAAACCATTTGGCTACCAGGGCTCTAAGAATTACAGCACTACAATAGCAACCAGTAATAGTAGAGTTGCCTACAAAATAGAGATGGAGCTGGTTAAAAGAAGGGAAGACAGAGGGAGCTTCAAGGGGCTTAAAGATAAAATATCATTTGAATAACTACCTTTCCTCATCACTCTAGAATAAGTCAGTAACACTGTTTATGTATTTTACTACTACAATGCAAGAAACAGCTTTTCTGTATAGTTGCATAGAAAACCTTTTTTAGGCCAAGTTCTTTAATCAAATTACAGCAATCTTGATGACCCAGTTGATTAAACAAAAAAAAAGACTAATAAAATAAAGGAATATCCATCAAGACCATGTAAACCCTCTTTAACAGAGCTGGCATTAGTTATAATGAGCTACAGTTATTCTTCAGCTGTGAAACAGCACTCACCTCCTGAATGGTACTGCTTCCTGAGAAGTTGAGGTTGTACTCCCGCTGGACTTCTCGATGGGTGATGATCAGCATGAAGTTTTGATTTAATGATTCCTGCAGGGCCCTGAAATGGTTGAAAGAAAAACAAGAAAATCAGGGATAAGCATGTTATAGCTTGTTTTACAGTTAGATGCAAAAACCCCAGGGTACCCTAAACTCTACATGGACAAGTCCAGGCACAACATTATCATCTCTCTTTTCACTCTTAAATGCAAGGAAGCATGCTGAGAATGACCAAAGGCCATTCCTGAACTCCTTCCTTAATAAGGTGACTGCAGCCTTTAAAGCTCTTCTAATGTTAAGTATTCTCAAAATTGAGAGAGTCACATTATCTTCACAAACATCGGGTATATTTAGCACTCATAATGCCATTAATACCAGGCTTGTAAGCATATTGATGACCAGACAAAATATCAAGCTACAGTGCACATTAAAAACTGATGGTAAGTAGAACAAGGCAAAGCATGCTCTCACTTCTCTAGGGTTACCTGAAGCATAAAGCAAATGGAAATTCTTCCGCTTAGTTTGATTCAAAGCACGTAAACCCAGCTAATTAGAACTGGAAAACTAACCACAGCAAAATTTCTCATGTGGGTATTGAGCATTCAGAAAAGTTAGTTCTGCTCAAATTGTTTTAAATGTACATTAAAACATTTTTAATTATATGAATTAAAAAAAAAATCTCAAGATACAGATTAAACAGACCAACTATATGTTGACGTTCTCATAAACTTGGGGGTTTTTTGTGACTTTCCTGGTAACAAAACATCTGGATGTTAAAAAGGCATTCTGTTTGCTTAATTAGGTACAAAATTATGCAGCTATCTACTTTTCAAAATATAAGGCAGAGCTTCTGTTATAGACGTGGCAATTACAGCTGTGTACAATCTTATATAGGCTACAAAACTGCAGCAACATTGTAACATAGCTTGGGTTTCTAAACAATATTTACACAGACTTGACCTGTTCAGTGGCATATGGAATTAAATTGGGTTTATTCAATTCTTTTTTTTCTTATCACACACTCTTAAAAGAATGACAGACTGCGGTTTTTTCCTTCACATCTTCAGTGTTCCATGACACTTCAACATGCCATTCCTCTTAGCAATAAAGGACAAATTCTGTAGGCAGATGAACACAGCTGTATCTTAAGATACAAGACAACAAGAAAGACTGCTAGATTATTTGAGTCCTGGTTTGTTAGTTTTTCCTTCTACTGGAATTACTGAGCTGCAGTTTTGCTGCTCAGATGCTAAGGAACCCATGCAATACTCACTGGATGCTTTAGCAAGAGAGACACAATTTGCTTTAATATCTCAAAAAAAATTACCTTACAAGAATATCTTCACTCAGCAACTTAATTTGGGTTCTGTGACATCTTAAACATAATAATCACATACTACAAAACAAAATCACGAAGTGCTATTTCTCATCTTTTATTGTTTTGTAATGTGGAAGATAAATTTAACTCGTTGTCAATGCTAGATGTGATCAAGTGTATGAGAGACACTACAAATGTAACTGAAGTCATCTATGCTGAACATGAAGTTAGCTGCACTTGTCACAAAATCTTTAAGAAAAGGCCTAAAAAAAATTTAAAATACTTAACAGTCCTTCAAAAGAGAAGAAAAAGAAAAAAGTCCTGAAAAGCTATATGCCTATTTTCAAAGGTAATTCTAATTTGATTGTCAACAATAAGTTCAGCATTGCCATAACCATATTTTCTTTTGGCAAATGTTCAGTAGCAACTAAAATATCCTGCTGTGCTTTTTCAGATTCTGATTTTTTTATCTGTTTTCAGCAAATACTGGAGGCGAATGACATATTTAATTGCTCTGAAAACATTAATTACAGCATATGTGAATGGCTTTGGATTCCATACAGAATCACACAAGGCTCTGCTATAGCTATTTCTGACTCTATCTGAAAATCTGTAGATGCTAACCAATAACATAACACGTTTTCATTCTGTAATTGATGTAAACATAGAATGAAACAGGCTAGTTCAATCAAACCCTCGGTCTCTCAAGGTATGCATGATACACACGCTTCAGTACTACCTGAAATACAGCATGCTAATAAAAAGCATCTGTTCATAGGAAAGGTTTTCTACTTCTCTATTTCATCTGGATGCGATAGCAGAGAGTATTTAGAAAAGAAAAAAATACTCTTCAAACACAGTTAATTTAAATGAAGTGCCTTAAAATTAAAAGCCTCAATTTTTGAAGTAACTAGTAATTTTGACACCTCTAGTTTTTGGATGTCTAAACAATGCAAGCTGAATGTTGTTAACAAGCAAAGTCTCAGTACATATTCATAGCCAAATATAGTCAAAGAGGAGGCTGAAAATTAAGCTGGCTAAAAAAAACCCTGAAAAAAATGAAGAAAAAGTTGGGTTTGAAAGTTTTAGCAACTGAAGTGCATGGTTAATTATTCACCTTTCTTCAGAAAAATAATATAATGAGGAATATTACTTCTGCTTACACAGAAATGCAGTGGTCAACTGATCAATCCTTTGAGCTCTTGTATCAAAATCTCATATGGTCTGACAGCCATAAGACCTGGACCATATATGTTAGAAAGTCAATGGGAGGAGGAATTGAGGGCACATCTGATGCGCAGTTTGTGCCAATGACTTCCTGTGTGTACCAACCCTCCTCTGTGGGATGGGGTTGATTTGAGCATGCAACTGGACAACCAGCAATGCCAGTCCCCTCCCATACACATTTCTTCCAGCAACCAGGGATGTAGATTACCCCAAATTATTTGTGCCAATAGAACTCTGCTTCCAAAACATACCTTGCCCTAAAATTGTATTTTCAGCCATTAAGGCTATGATCAAATGTACAAAAGAAGTGTATTTAAAGGAGACTTCTCACTGACAGTAAGCTGAAGCTTACTTTTATTTCTTTTTACGTGCATATAACAGTATTCAGAAGACTGACTTTGAACACAATGCACATTTCTAAAATTTTGGCTTCAGTGTTTGCAGCAGTTTCATATTCCTGCAAATGTTATCAGTTGACTACAATCTTCCAAATGAAACATCTGCATTAAAAGAAAAAAAAAAAAAAAAAAATCAGGGCCAAACCCCAGGTCCCATTAAAGTCAAGACAGGTTTTCTTCTTTGGTTTTTTTTTTTTTTTTCCCCCATCAGTGCTAACAGAATTTAATTAATCTAAAAATTAATTAGTGGGAAAAGAAAATCAAATTCTAGAAACAGGATTAAAGTAGGCCACTCTTATCAGCACCATTTCCCCCCTACTGCAAACCCTAGCTTTCAAAAGCATTCGCTGATAGGTTATATACTGCCATTACATTTTTTTTTTTCCCCTCAGCTAAATGATTATACATTCACTATTCAGCACAGGAGGCAAGGGAACATGATGGTATTTTGGGGCACCAATCTTCCGTTAGAGGAACTCAGCCTACACCCAAAAAAGCAGTCCACGAACAGACAAAAGAAAACAGACCTGAGCACAGTAATTGCTCTGAACCAGTTCTAGCAAGAGAGACTTGGACCAGTTTAGGATTTCATATGGATTGTTGCATTGTTCATGTTCATATGATTATTGCATTGGTTATTGGCATTATCACAATGCACAGAAACCTCAGTGGTGGACCAGGATTCAGCTGGGGTTGAAACTCTACGATATGCAAACAAAAATGTTCCTCTTTGAAACTTAAATTTCAAGCAACGGAAGTTGCAAGAAATTTTTTTTCACTAAACTCAAAATATCAAAACTCAGTTAAGAGTCTGGAAAGAGATTCACTAGCTACTCCACCCAAATTCCAATACAGTACAATGTATAAACCACAAGTCTAATAAATTAAGAATAGAAACAATATTTAGCCAAAAAAAGTGTAACTGCAAACACTGCTAGTCTTTGGGGACAGCAACTGTTCAATCACTCTACACAATGCTGAAGCAAAATGGTATTAGCGTTGATATTTATTATATTTTAAGCTTCCAGTTTCACTGCTATTCTATTGTTCTGTAACACTTAATATATAAAATAGATTGATCGTATCTACTGTTAAGTGACTGCCTTAATGTTTCAATTTTTGATGTAATACTTGGCTTTTTAATATCATTTTTCTTTGAAATTTTAGTCGTATTTTAAGCTCTGTAACCAGAAGTATATCCTTAATCAATATTCAGCAAATGCTCCTTTTCATTTCAGTTCTGTAAGTTTTTATGAAATACATTCAGTATTTCCCATTAGGCAATATCTTTCTCAGTCACGTGGAGATTTTCCCCAAAATCTCTGAATTTGATATAAATAGGTATGAGACAAGGTAATTAACATTTCCATTTTAAACTTACAGATTTATACAAGCGCATGTCAACAGAAGTCCAAATTTACTGTAATTACAGATTATTTACATTAAAACAAAATAAGAAATCAGTATGTAAATGTAATGTTTGTTGTAGCTAATGCAGCAGGAGGTGGTAGATTAGGTTCAAATAGCAATCAGTTAGCAAATCTGGCTAACATGTAAATGAGCAGAAGCCCTTTTGTTTACATTCTATTGCATTTTAAACTTCAGGATTTTTAAACTGTCTCATGAGCAGATGTGAAAATAAAACATTAATCTTACCATTCTTATTGAAGCTTTCAAAGTAACTAAAGCAAGGCACTGCTCCTGTCCAGCTAAACAGACAATACTAATAATTGGAGTTGCAGGTTACATCGTTCTTAATTAACACTCTGCTACAGTTGATAACGTACAAGAAGACACCATGCCACAATCACCACTGCTCTGCAACAATCTAAAACGCAGGCATTCAGCAATATATGGACCCATTACTTGAAAGATGGGGATTGTGGAGGTTTTTTCTTATCCACACAGATGATTACACTTCTTAAATAAGTTGCAATTGCTTAACAAAAATATGTCATTTGTAATAATCTCCAAGGTATGCACCTGGTCAAATAGCTTTTAACTGTTTTGACCTTTCCAATGATTCATTGGGAATAAAGTATCTAAGATTTTCAGCTATTTAGCAAAAAAGTATAAATATAAAATACATTATATCCATTAAAATGGCTACCGAAGAAAAAATTGATAAAAAGCATCTCCCAGAACATGCAAGACAGAAACAAGAGGCAATCCGGACAACCTAGCTCCGTGGCCAGACTCACATGCCTATGCTTTTGATGCTCCCCTCTTGCATTCTCCTAAACCTTTTCCCTGAACTGGGTATTGCCAGCTTTCAAGAAGCACCTGAGACAACACAGGGAAGGAATTACACGCTGAGGAAGCAAAGAATCTAACCTGACAAAGCTGGTGCAAGGGATCTCTCCCCTTGGACAATTAAATGATGGACATTCTTTGGCACCTTTCCTTTTAAGAGTGCTTTCCAAAGGAAATCATGTTCTTCTCCACCCACCTGTCCCATCTGGTAACTTCTGAACATATCTGTTCGTTTCAAGGAGGTCTGACAGTGTTCTAAAGGTCTCAAAGACTGGGTGTAAATCAACAGCCAGGTGGAGGAAAGGGACCCAAATTACTATCCACCTTAGCAAAAGGCTGCATTACAAGCGTAGTGTTTTACACTCCATCCAGCTGACCTCTGGCCAATGATCTCAGAACTACCGACAGCATATGATTTCACCTTTCCTTTGGTATTACCTGACTACCAGCTGGAGAACAGAGGCAGGGCTGGCTGACTGTCTATGCAAGGGGAAAAAAAAATTACATAGGTGCTACAAAATACACAGGAAGAACTCTACAGAGGCAGTGCCAGAGGTAGGTGAGATCACAGGAAGCATGGAGGGAGAGGGCTGAGGTACTGCAGCTGCTGGGATGAGACAGGAATTCACTAGAAATCAGGTTTCATTACGTCCACAGCTCGCAGAACACATTGTTATTGTTCTGGGTATCATGCATGGATCGTGCTTTGCCACTGAAATTGTGGAAGCAGGGCATGTAACCCTACGGGTAGTATTTGACATTTTAATCTTTACACATCAATTTACTAGCATGCAGTAGTAATTCACTGGGTTCCTCTCATCTATTGCCACTGATGAACAAAGATACCCTAGGAGATTTTTGCTTGTTTAAACTGCAGGATCACTTTGCCATTACATTTAGATGCTAGTATTAAGTCAGTTCTGGGTTAAGCCCATTCAGTCTGTCACAATAAACTTCAATGCCTACGTACCAATACGTTGGAAAAGGATGTTTCAGACACTGTTCTCCCTCGGTGTCAAGAAAAGGCACAAATTGGAGTTTATAGAGCTGTGACCAGATTGCTCTTTTAAGAAGGGCATACACATAAAATATCAGGTACTGAAATCTCAGGCTTTCCAAATATCACTTTCTGAAGTTATTCAAATCACAACTATTTATCTCTAGTTCAAAATAGAAGGCATTTGAAGAAAATGACAGATGAACTCACAAAGTAAGAGGCAAAGTTCCTTAGCATCCATTAATAATAGATGTGAGCATGACGCTTTTAAAAATTGTGGGTAACAAACTAATCTGAATAATAACTGACCTAACAGTAGGCAGTAAACAGTGTAACTGGGTTTGGTACATTGCTTCAATTAGATGTGTTTTGATCTGCATTGATGCTTTAATTGGAGGCAAGCCTCCCCTTTCATCTAGAATTTATGACTTCAGGGAAACGATCTAGCCTTCAAATTATCCTTGTTTAAGTAGCCACTAATTAATCATCATTTGCCATCCCAAAGCTACGAACTTTATCTTAAAAATATCCAGAACTAATCTCTATTATGAAACAAGTAAAAACTATAAAGGTTAACAACCACTTTTTTACTAGCAAGTAAAGTTCTTTTAAACTATTCATCCAATAAAAAAGCCTAAGAACTGTTTTTAAACAGTTTGTTGTTATACAGTTTATTGCAGTAGCAATAAACAACATCCTTCAGACCCCAGTTTTCTTTCCAGAATCGAAGATGTTCAAATTACAATATACAGCGATACCTGGGCAGAAAATTTTGAAATTGGAAATGGATTTGAAAGAAAAACAAACAAACAATTAGTATCTACAGTGGTTTTCCACAGTATTTTCACTGTCCTTCAATTAGCTGCTTAAGTACAATGGCTTATTGTCCTCACACACAACTACAGCTCCTGTTTGCACATACAGAGCACATACAGTTCACATACAGCTCACCACCACTCTGTTCCCTCCGTTCCAGTGCCACTACTCCTTCTCTTAATGCTTCTTTTCTTTATTATTATTATTTTTATAATTCATATCAGCATTCTTACTTCCTCCACAGACTACACGGTTACATGCACAAGTACCTTTTAGTAATATATGAAGTACTTTTAGTCATTAGGAAACCAGTTGTTTATTTCCATTGACTGTCAAAGAATTGCCTTCATCAGTGATGCGACTGCATTTGTAGAACATTCTCCTATCGACTACAACAGCAGAAAAACAACTCCCTCTTCAGACAACTTGAAGGCACTCTAGTCTAATGATCACGCAATTTGACCAATTCCAAATGCAACCTTCCCCGCTCGCTTGCGGTCTGGAGCAGCACTGCTCTTCCAGGCTCAACTACTGGGCACCCTCTAGTGGCTATCGAATAAAATTCATATTTTACTGGTCAAGAGCTCATACAGGTCTGCCTTTGAGAAAGGGAAGGGCAGGAAAGAAAACAAGCCAAAGTAATCAAAGTAATTGCAAATTACTTTATAAGAGTAAAGATTCTATCTTCTATAAAATAACGTTTCCTTTTCAAACCTGAGCAATATTCACTGACATGTGAACATTCACCATTAACTTTCTGAGTATTCAAATCAGTAATAAAAGATAACCTGCTCGGTTAAAGGAAATTAATTATTCAGCCTACCTACATGCATTTTAAAAGTCCAAGAAGGTAAGATAAAATAATGTAACAAACACTTCAGAAAGAAAATTCTGACTTACTGGCAATGATTTATACAATTTTCTGTTAAATGAACTGACATACTGCAGTAATCTATGAAAGGCCAGCTCTCAGTTCCACAGGGACTGGATTTTTGTTAAATTAAAGTCATCGCATCTGGGAGGTGTAAAATTCTGTATGTACCTAAGTGGTTCATGTACCACACCAAGGTTTTAAAAAACTTAACAACCTTCTTTTCAACAATGAGGTGCTGAAGTGGTTCATCCTGACACTTACTAGAGCAGTGAGAACACTTTGTATTTACTGATTGCAGATTCCTGCAAGGATACGTAGCTTCATGAAAACCATACAAAACCAAATCATACAAATAGAATTTATGGCCAAAAGACTTACCCAGAATGACTTGAAGAAGGAGGAGGCAGGTCAGGTGTTAGAACATAGAGACTATTATTTTTTGGCAAGTGTAGAGTTTTTAAAACAGTCTGAGGGGAGAAAAATCATTATAAATATGAAACTTTCACCAATTTTGACATATTATTTTGTTTCTTTTAATTATTGATACTTATGTGCAACACCACCAAACATTTTGTTTTGAGATACAATACTGTTAACTTCATAACATCCTTTTTGTAGGTGGGCCGTGTTATATATAAAAACACAAACTACAGTGATTTGTCCTGATTTTTTTTGCAATGTTTTAGTTTAAGAGTTCCTTGTATGCCACCCAAGACATTTAACAGTGTTTGAAACTCACAATCCTTGCATTGTAGTCCCCACCCACAGATGCTCAGTTTGAAACTCTGAATTCAGTTAATTGAAAACACAGTTGAAAACTTACACTATCATCTACATCTCCAGTCTTCCACCCTTTTAATAGCATTTTAGATGCAGGAATCTGAAGTTCATTTTCTAGAATATGTTTGATATCTCCTACAGAGAAAACAAAGAAAATATATAAAATATACACACTTACTGCTTTATTTCAAACAGTACTGAGTTACAGTTAAAAAATGAGAGCAAGGAAAGATTTACTATGAAAACCATTTTTAATCTCGTTACCCTTGTAACACACACTTCAAACAGTAAAGGACAAATGAAGCTTAAAAAAAAAAAAAAAATCACATAAAGCATGAATGATTGGAGAATCACATGAGGATTTGACAATTTGGACATATATCTGAATAGTTCTACCCTGCGTATGCTAGACACACACATTTGCAGATGCATGCTATCTGGAGCAATGGACTTCGCCAGCAATAAAGAGGGTGCATATTTTTGATACCCTATTCCATTATTAATAATCCTGACCTAAAGAACTGCAGTGTTCATACAATTTAACTGCTCTGACAGTTTTTTCAGTGGTTTGCATATTTCAATGCTCCCGTCTCCCTGTAGTTATTACAGTCATAAAATAATTCAGGCTGCAAGCTACCTCACGTGGTCACCTAGCCCAAGCCCAGCTCAAAGGTCTAATTAAATCAGTTTAGCCAAGGATTTGTCCAGTTGACTCTTGAACACCTCTAAGGATGGAAGTTTGACAACTTCTCTGAAGTACTGTTCCAGTACTTCACCACTCGCACAACTGAAAAAAAAATCCTTACATCTAATGGGAATTTTCAATGTTGCAAATTGTGTCCATTTGCTCTTATTATCATGCACCTCCAAGAAGAGTCTGGCTCCATCTTCTCTGTGTCCTCCCAGCACGTAGTTGTCGACAGAGGAAAGGCCTCTACCTCTCCCCCTCTCTTCCTCAGGCTGAACAACTCCAGTTCTCTGTGCTCTCCTCCCATGTTGTGCTCTAGCCCCAACTATCTTGCTGGTCTCTGCTGGACTCACTGCAGAAAGTCAACATCTTTCTTGTACTGGGGACCTCAAAATGGGATGTAGTGCTCTAGATGCAGTCTTGCAAGTGCTCAGTAGAGGGGAATAATTATTTCTCTGGATCCATTGGCTACACTCTTGCTAACACAGCCTAGGATGTGGGTGGTCTTCTTCCCTGCAAGTCTGCACTGCTGATGCACCCCTAGATCCCTTTTTTCGTAAAGTTGCTTTCTAGCCTGTCAGCCCTCAGCCAGTTATCAGATGGGATAACACACTTATCCTATCCCACATGCAGGACTTCAACTTTGCCTTCTTTGAACTTCACAAGGCTCCTGTCAGACCATTTTTCCAGGCTGTCCAGGGCCCTGTAAATAGCAGCCCTACCCTCCAGAATATCAGCCACTTTCTCTGATCTGGTATTCTTTATGAACTTGCCAAGAGCACTCACCTTACCAACCAGGTTTTTAATACGGACATTAAGCAACACTGGCCCCAGGATCAACTGCTGAGGGACATCCCTAAACTAGTGACTGTTGACCAGTCAGACTTTGAGCCCAGCAGTTCAGGCAATTATCTACGTACCTCATCAGCCCACTTATCCAGTCCTTATCTTAACAATATGACTATAAGAATCCTACAGCAGAGCATATCAAAGGCCTTACTAAATTCAAAGTGAATCCACCATTCTTCCCTTGTCCACAGAGACAGTCATCAAATCATAAAAGGCAAATAACGTTGATTAGGCACAATCTGCCCTTGGCAAATCCATGCCAGCTGTTCCAAATCACCTCCTTTCTTTTCTGTGCTCAGTAAGGGCTTCCAGAAAGATTTTCTCCGTAATCTTCCCATGGACCAAGTTCAGCAATTGCCATTGAACAGTAGGCTCACTTTTTCCTTAGCCTTTCTTTTCATGCTGATGTATTTACAGAAGCCCTTCTAATCCCTCAGTGGTTTCAGCTGCACCTGAGTTTTGGTCTTACTCCAGACCTCCACAGTCTGGCAACATCTCTGTATTCCTCCTGGGTAGCCCCATCGCTACCTTCCACCTTCTGCTGCTTTCTTTTTGCATTTAGCTTAGTCATAAATTCTTTGTTCTTCTGTGCTGGCCTTCTGCCATGCTTGCTCCTCTTTCTGCATGTTTGAAGAGACTGTTCTTGTACTTTGAAGAGGCTGTCCTTGAAAATCAACCAGCTCTCTTGGGGCCCTTTGCCCTCAGGGCAGTCTCTCATGGGACCCTGCCAAGCAGATCCCTGAAAAAGCCAAAAATCTTATTTCTGGAAGTCCACAGTTGAAATTCTACTATTTGCCTTGCTAACTTGTCTCAGGACTTTAAACACAAGGCTGCCCTCAATCTTCATATGCCAAGATACAGACAAAAGTTCTACACTGACTGCTTCTGCCCTACAGCTTAATCATTTATACCTGAAAGAAGCTAGTAAGAAAAGAAAAAATAACATACTACAGCTGCAAAATTCTGATTTGATCAGACTTTCATATCTGCTCTGCATGGATGCAACTCAGTGCAGTGGAAAACATGAAACAGTAATCAGGAATTCAAACTGATTACCACTAGGTGGCACCCGCCTATACCAAATCGAATGCTAAAAAGACAATGAAGGACACAAAGTTTCGATTTCGAAATTTCATCACAGACATAAGGCTGCAGCACTGAAAATTGTTTTAATCAACTATTTCTTCATTTAGTTCCTTATTTTGATCTGTATAGAGTCTTCACTAAAACAAACAAAAAACCCCTCTTCGTCCTTAGCAAAAGTAAATTAACTCACAGATGGGGAACGTAAAAAATAACATGCTCTGCAATACGAGCAATAGTATATTTCTAACACAGCTACAAAATGCATCAGTTCTAGGATAAAGACAATAAAACTTATAAAAGAAATCTTAATTTGCACAAACAGGTCAAATAAAAATTGAAAAAAGAAGAATACAACAATGCTCTTCACACTGGAAAGAATTCCTCTAAATCTTGTCACTTATCCTACACAGAAAGAGATGCCATACAGATTTGAAAAGGAAATGACACGATCATGTGCTTATTAGTAGATTGCATCTACGCTAATCCTACCCCAAATTACATTTTCATGCCTCAACTTAATCAGTAATCTCCATTTTGTTTCTGAAGCAAGTTCATAAGAAAAGTAGATTTCAAAATAAATATTTGTTAGATCACTAACCTTTACAATGGATTAGTGAAATTTTGCTTTTTTAAAGCTGCAAAGAGATTTGAAAATGGTTAGTAGCTGTGGAGGCTGCATTTGCTGGGGGATTTTTTTTTTTATTATTTTTTGTGGGGTTTTGTTTTGCTTTGGTTTTTTTTAGGATTTGGATTTTTGGGGTTGGGTCTTTTTTATTTGTTTTTGTTTTAACAATTTTACCACAAGAGTTTTCATTTCATTTTTACAAATCCTTACCAACTGTGGAGCTGTCTTCAAGTACTACATCCACACTTCTGTCTCTGTACTCAACCCTGAAGTCAAGCATTCGAGGTTGTCTTTCCACTATTTGTCTAGATGGCACTACATGGTGAAACGCTGAGGATGAGGAAGGAGTTGAAGAAGCTGCTGTAGAATGACTTGTGGGGCCATACACTGGTCCATGTAAAGTCTCTCCACCATACTCACTGAAAGACATGCACAGGAGAAGGTTTAAACAAAACAGCTTGATACGTTTAAATAAAAGTTAGCAAAGCAAAACTAACAGTATTATTCACTTACTGTGGTCCACAGCCAACACCTCTTGAATAAACTAGTGTCATATCTGAAAATACTGTTTTATTAATAATCAGAAAATAGCTTTCATATCAGCAATATTAACATTTCAGTGACTCAGAAGTGCTATAGGAGAACAGCTTAGGTGACAAACAGGCATTTAAGCTACTATTTCAGTCCAAAGTTCACTATGTAATTAATATCACAATTATCTTGAGAAGAACATTAGCTCCAGTTCCAGGACTGCTGTGACCGTATAAAAATTGGCACCATGGCAACCACCAGCTTTCTACATCATTGGGCTAGTTTCACGTGGAAATGAGAATAAGAAATAAAGCTTAAAATACTGCACGTGTATTGATATTGTCCAATACCAAATTAGTGGAAAACAAGTCAGATATGAAAATAGTTGTTCTTAAGGTAAATAAATAAAGATAAGTATATATTGCAAAAAAATACCTAGAAGTACAACAGTAATGCAATGCTGAATTCTAGCTTGCCTTTAAGCTCAAAATCCTTCCAGCTTCCTGGACATTCATGTAAGGATGTCTCCATACCTGGCTCAAGGATACATACAGCATTACAGGTCAGAATAAATTGGGAAACCCTCACTACCCAGAAGCACTTCATCTTCCTCAGTGAGCCTCTCCACAAGAAGCATGTAACTGGGATTAGAAACAAAGGTAACAAAAGATGACATTTCAGGAACATTACTGCAGGCCAAAAAAAACCTTAAGATGTACAGAAATTAAATTTGGAAGGCAAGATACTTCACAGGGCAAGCCTAGAGTTTTGCCTTGTAGATGTTCTCATCAGGAAGATTATCTGTCCCAGGCAGTTACAGGATATCGTGAAGGAGGATGCAAGCTAATAAAATGTATGCACTGAAAGAATGGAAGCTGAGCAAAGAGGGGTTTAGGAAATGTTAAGATGTAAGTTCTGCCATTTCTGTTCTTAAACAGAACTTACTTGAAAAATGCATTTTGCCCTTCTTGAAGACACCATGAGATCTGTCAATGGAAATGCTTCTTATAGCAAGCCAAATCTGTCATCTAGAGGCCTGAACTTAAAAAAGCATAAATGCGGATGGCATGCATGTCACAGAAGTGCTGAAGTTATACAGAGCTATAGCAAATTCCATCATTGTGCCTTCCACATTTGAAAAAGAAAAATGTGTTACACTTGTAAAACAAGGGGCTCCTTCACTTCTCACATCAGCAGGCTCAGAAGGATGAATTCACAGCTAAAGACCCCCACTCAAAGACCCATGGTCAAAGACCCAGTTCAGAGGTCTAAAGAGTACATGTAACAGTCCCATTTTCAGGATTTAAAAAAGCATAAATACCGAGTGATATGTTATTGTCTTAAATCTGATGGCCAACTGTGAATTAAGTACTATAACCATTTTGTTAATGGACCTAAGAAGCAATGAATATCCTGATTCTCAGGACTGGATTTTTTTTTAATTTTTTTTTTTTTAAACAACACAACTGAATTATAAAACAGAATGTGGGGGTTTTTTTCCCTTCAATAACATCAGATTTACTTCAAGTACATCAGCTTACTTCAAGTCCAGTTGTATTAATTCTATTTGATTCCACCACAAAAGGCATCCTACATATCTGACTAGCAACCTCTAATGGAACATAAAAAGCCTCACGTCAGTAAACTAAGCCTCATCTGAAAACCACTGGAAACTAAGCTTCTAAGTCTTCTGAGCCTCCTTTTAAACCACTTCCATTGGAATTAAAAAAAAAAAAGAAAAAAAGAAAAAAAAAGATTTGAGACACATTTGATTGTCTAATCATTTCTAAAAATGAATAAATTAGTGTGGAAGAAAGCTGTAAGTGGACACTGGACCAGCTTGTTATCCAAGTCAGGCATAACTACTCCCCAGCTCCTTCCCCCTGACCAAACAGTTCCAAACACTCTGGTATTTTAAATATAAATGTTTTGAGGTCAGGACTTATTAACGTAGGTAGAAAGAGTGCTCAACACAACTGAGACTTGATCTCAAATGGACTAGGTGGGCCTTATGGTAAATAAACATCTAATGACTTTACAGAGCAAATAAGGTTTTATCCTGAATCAAAAAATGACTCTATTTAATGATAGCTTTAGTAAGTATTGATGGAGATGCCAAAACACCACTTTACATACATTAAGTATCTTTTTTCATCATTAAAATAAACTTTTTAAAATAGTACATTGTGTATTTTTCTAAATAAAATTTTAAACACTATGTTACTGTCGCTCTCAAGTAGCTCAGTTCCTGTTCTGCTGTTTTCAATTGCCTCATCAGCACTTAGGATCTCATGCTTCAGTGACTTCAAGATATCTAGGCATCAGTATACAAGCCAAAATTTAATTCAGAAGCTAGAAGAAAATCAGTAAAGCTACTTCTAGAAGGGAGCAACCTTACTTTATCTAACATGGTATCTGCCGCCTGTAATTTAATTAAAAAAAAAAAAAAACAACCTACAAAAATACAAACATTTTTGGACAGGGACAGGGAAGCATGGAGTATCAATACCTTTAAAAATGCACAAGGAAAAAGAAAATACTTAGCCAGGAATATCTGTGGATTTGCCTTACAAATTTTTAGAACTTTGGGGGAAAAAAAAAACCCAACTAAAAACAAAAAACAAAACAAGTCCTGATATCCAAGACAGCATACCAAAATCCAGACATAGTAAAGAGACAACCCTGTACAGAATGACCCAACAACCAATTAATTCAAAACAAAAATTAACTAATTTGAATAGGTGTTCGAGCAGGTCCTCCATCAGTATGGGAAAAATTGAATGTTAAATCAGCTCTGCCAGGAATAGAATTTGTGGCTCCAGAAACTGCTTTAAAAGGAGAATTATATCATCTTCTTAGGATTCAGGAACAAAAAATGTAACTATTACCCAGCCTCATTCTTTGTGTGTACTATTCCAGTCTTCTGTGCTTACCTTTGTAGAATGCCGTTTTCTTGCGGTATTACACCATTTATAGCTGCCTGAAAAGAGAAAACAAATTTTGAGTCAAACATACAGAGCAACAAAAATACATCGGAACTTCTACAATATGTTTCAAAGAGTGATTAGCTTGCTTTAAAATATGCCATAAAATGTTCTCCATTCAGTGAATATTCTTGGTAAAGGATACTGTCATTAAAGTACCTGCATAAAATAAAAACCGTATCTAAGTGAAAAGGAACATGAACTGAAGCTCAGACTCCTATATGCGTGCGATGGATTGCCCAGGTGGAATGCATGGGAATAATCGCCATGGCCCATGCTCAGCGCACTTGGTACATCCAGACAGTGAACACATGGCTTTCAAATACATCGAGCTAACTGTGCACAGACAAGGCAGCCAGACAGCACGTCCACAGAAAATCTGATGTTTCCCAGAAGTATCAGACCTGCACAACCCTACAAACCTGCACAGCTGCACATACACTGCATGTTGCAAGCCTGGTGTGTGCATGAATTGCTGAAGTTGGCCAAAGGGCTACTCAACAGCGCACATGCCTCAATCACATCTTTGCCTTCCAGACAACCTGCTTCTAGCTCACACACAAATCTAGCCTCTTAAGAGTCCTCATGTGCCAGGGAATCACAGAAATGACTACCCCAAAATTCAAACAATCTTCAGGTAGAACAGGAAGTATTTTTAAAGTAAGGTTTATGCAGTTAAGTATCACCCCGTGCCATCCAGATCATCAGAATAAACAAAATATTACTTATAGGTGTATAAGTACAAACCTGGCAAGCTGCATTCAGATTTGGTCTTATTTGTAATTACAGAATTACTATCTATAAAAATATCCTGATGAATTCTACCTCATATTAAAATGCATTGTTATTAAAATAGCCAGAACATACCCCCGTTACAAGTTCAAAACCCCACTTCTGACAAAACTTTCTCAGCCTGTTACAGCATTGCTCCATTCTATGTTGCAGAAAGTTTTAATACATTTCCAGCACATCTGATGCTCTAGAAGTTTATACAAACTTTGAATTTATATGTAAATCAGGATGAGGGAAAAACTTGGAAAGCAAGTAAGACTCTCTTCAACAGTACTTAGAAGACAATTTATTTCAGACTGCTTTACACCACCAAAAAGTGTTTTAAAATCATCTCATTGCTAGGATTTTTCAGATTTGAGGGGCAGTGAATGTGATACCATGTGAGCTGGTGAAGATGACTTACACGTTTTATTCCTCAGCTGATTAAACTTTGTTCTGATTATTGTTAGAACCCTACCTAACTTCAGACTTTTAATCCTAGCCTTGCAGTGGGCTGATAAAGTGGAGTAGCACGGGAGGGAATTTGACAAGGAATGAGAAAGAATTAAAAAAAAGACTAATTCTATTTCTGCTCTTTGATGATCTTTATAATCACTATTGTGTTCACTGGTATGGATTTGTTAGGCTTAACAGTGAGATTAAAGAGAGTTTGTAGCATCCCACTAATCTCCATTTTCTGCTGTACCAGCAGCGATTCATGCATTTCTACTACCGCAACTTCTAATACCCATTCTCCTATGTCAGATATACCTGACCAGAATACCTGGTGAATGACTGTCTGGTCCCTGATGAAGAAGAGAATGCTGACATTTAGAAGCGCATAGATTCCCTGGTACTCTAGGAGGATAAATTCAAATACTGTAACTGAACTATGGACAGTCATCATCTACCAACATCATTTTTACAAATTGACATAAAAATGCAGCTTAATTGCTTAAAAAACACTTTAATTTTAAGTGCTATGCTTGCTTTTTCTAGGAATATATAAGCATGGATTTTTACAATTTCCATTAATACTTAAGGCTACATAAAATCAAAAAGTATTTCTGCTGAACTCAGCTAAGTAACTATGATATTGCAGTAAGATTTATCATGTATTTAGAGAAAAATACTGCATAAATAATAGCAAAAAAAGCAGACAAGGAAAAGGTTCACAAGTATCTGTAAGCTACAGCAACTACCCATAAGGCTGTATCAAATTACAGTGAAAAAGCTTCCTATCAGATCAGTTTTTAAATCAGTTTATCCACCGTGCATGGCAATAATCAGTGGTTTCTTTTTAACACGTCTCATTTACCATCACTGTGGTTTTTGCAGTCATACATAGCTCTTGATCATGTTCATCTAATAAACCTCCAGGAAAAGGTGGGAGGTTTGGGTTTGTTTGAGTTTTTCTGGATTGGTTCCCCCCCACCATACTCTTCAGCAACATACATTTCATTCCTGTCAATCAACAGGTAAAGTTGGTTGAAAGACAAAAATAGCCTTTATTTTGCATCTGTAGGATACAGAGAGCAAATACAGGGTTTTGTACCACAGGACCAACACTAATAATGATCTGCTGGTGCAACAGAATTCTCTTTACTCTGAGAAAAAGAAGTTGCTTAAGCTATGAAAAAATACAGCACAGCGTGGCATTTCCACACTTTTTCTGTCAAAGCTCATGTATCAGTCTCAGAGGATTAAATCAGCTCAAACTTCTCCTAAGCCTAGTTAGAGGGGTTAAATACAATAGAGGTTCCAAGCTATTTTCTTTAAAACTGAATAACTCACTTGTTCACGTCCCCAGTTTTGTAAACTTTATGACATTTAAGGGGCACAGCAGCAAGAAAAAACAGCAGCAGCAGCATTATGTACTTTTTTGATGGAAAGACCTCTATTAACCACACTGTAAAAATAAAGAGTCTGGACACTGTTTGTTAAGCAGGATGGAAGACTAAAATTATGTAGACGGCAAATGGTAGCAGTGTGCATGTAGATATTGCATAAATATCAAATAGCCATGTTCTTACAAGGCATCTATAAGTAGACCCTGAAAAGAAAATAAGAAAAAGGAACAACCATCTGTTTTAGAATTTCATAGGAGGAAGGCTGTGACTATTTAAAAATAGTTATTAAGGCAAGATCTGTTCCAGGCTGTTCTTCCCCAATGTTAGTCCCCTTTGACAGAGGATCAGGTGTCTATGGTTAAGCAAACATTCAAAGATATTACATTTTTTTGTCTTTCCAAACAGGGATCATTTGATCATCGAAAACAGCCTGTGTGACTAACATACAGTAATTAAAAAGATGTATTACCCTTGAAACAATTTTAATAACAGGTGCAGTAAATATATTCATGGGTTATTAAACATAAAGATACTATGTGTGACTCAGAAAATTTCTTCAGCTCCCAATAACCTGTTGCTGAGAGTGCTACCAAGGAAGTAGCACTCCACGCTTACGCTGTTCTCACACTGTGTATATCCGCAAGTGTCACTGCTGGATACTGGGCGCCACAACTTCAACAGGTAGTTTACCTACTCTAATGCTGTCACTATTTAAAGGGTGAAGCTCACCTTAAGTGGAAAATTATAGGAGTTTTATAAGACTTTTTTTTCCCCAAAGCCAAGAACCTTGGGTGTGTCTCAGTGCTACCCATACACAAACTCTATCGTAACACTGTTCAAACTTGGAACAAAGGCATAGAAGCAAGGACATAATTATCGTTTCGATGACAATATTCCAACAACTACCAGGCCCACAACTTATTTTAGGAAATTATAAGCCAAATTTAGTTATTCTTGATTTATACATTTTGTTTAGAGATATCGCTCATATATATCCAGGAATTGAAAGAGTTAGTTTAAGAATTTATTAAGCTCTGCATGACCTGATCTAATTGGACCAGTTTTTGACTAGACTGACATCCAGAAGTAACTTCCAATTTCAAGCACTCTATGACTCAATCATCCAACAATATAGGATATATTGATAAATATTGATAGAGAATCCTGTTCATTTAAATGAATGGGAAGATGGGAATATGATATAATATGGGATGGATGAGTGCCAATTACAAAGTAACAATACTTTCTTTGGTGTTTGTTTCAGCAGCAAGCTTCCAGTACCAAAATATTAAATCCAATTCTTTTTGTTGCTTCCCGCAAACACAGAAAAAAATAAAGCAATAGGGTTAATAAAAGGTTAGCAAATTCATTAATAGTGTGGGCAACCCAGAAACTCTGCGGTATTATACAAATAGACTGAAATTATTTCAGTGCCTAAAGAACATTGTGAAGCAGACTGTGAAATTTAAAGTTGTTCTTCAAGGGGATATTAGCTTAAATAGATTAGTCAGTCCTGACTAAATGTGACTATCTTTTACAAGTACAAAACAATGTTGGAGAGAAAAATAAGATGAACCATTTCTTAATAACCCGATGAAGCAACAATATTGATGACTTCTCTCGAAATACACAATTATAGTACTAACCATTTAAAAGCAATTAAGTACATCTTACAGTGACTCTCATTCCAGGGGAATGAGGGTCCTATGAATACTTATAAACGAACTGTGGTATTTTAGATAGCACAAAAACTAAACTCTTGAGTTTAAAATACTCAGTGGTTATCACTAAGTTTGAAAACAGACTGAATTTGCCAAACATATTATTTAAAAGCAGAGGTCTACATACACTGATTGTATATTCAAAGAAGGCAGGGAATTCCTTCCTCTTCATGAACTACAGATAGGAGGTAGATTTTAAATTTCCAGAATTTAAAAGTGATGTTTAGATTAATTATCTTAAGACTTAAAACCAGGCCCAGACAAAAGCACAGTTAAAGGCTTTTGCAATGGGTGAGGTGGGAGAAGATCTTCCTCCATGGCCACATCTTGTTCCCTCTGCTTCCCAATCTCCATACCACACAATGGTTTTGGCTGACTATACAGACCCTGCCCTAGATACAGATCCCTTAAAACTGTCCCCATTCAAACCCCTACCACAATGAAGTGCAAGAGCTTTTTCAAAGCATGACATAGATCAACTTTCCAAAACAGGGTATTAGAAAACACATCTCTGAGCAAAAGAAGAAAGGAAGTTCAAGCAGCATGATGCTGGAAGAACAACCGTTTCAGAAGAAGAGGCTAGAGAGATGTAAATACCGTGCACATGTGAAAGCTGCATGAGTTTCATTGAGATAAATAACTGTATCAGCTTAA